TTAAAGTTTTATATTCATAAAAATTTATATTTAATATTAATTAAATAATTAAATATTAAATATTTATAATTAAGAAAAAAAATTTAAAAAATAAATTTATATAATATTTTAATAACTAATTATTTATTTTTAATATAATTATATTAGTTAACTAATAAATACAAATCAAAATATAAGATTTTTAATAAAATAAAAGCTATTAAAACTAAAAATAATATTTTAATTAATTGTAATATTATAATAATTAATTAAATTTAATTGTAACTATTGTGATTTTATTTTTATTAAAATAAAATATAAAATAAGATAAATAATATATATAACAATATGAATTAATACAAATTAATTTTTTTTGTTATATTTTTATCAAATTAGCTTTACAAATCACATATTTTGCATAAATTAAAATATGAAAATAAACAAAAAATATAAAATATAATAGAAAACAGAATAAAATAAAAGAAAAAATAAAATATTAAATAAAATAAAGATGAAATAAAATATAAATATATAATAAAATATAAATATATAATATATAATATATAATTAACTAAAATAAAAATGATTTCTATGAACTTTAAAAATAACAAAAATATTAAAAAATAATCAAAGTTTTGTTAATTAAATCATTTAGTTATCAATAATTTGATTCAATAAATCTGATTCAGTTTAATTTGAATTTGAACCCATTAAAAAGTTTGGTTTGAATTCAGTTATATTTTGACAAGGTTCAATTCAGACTTGAATTTGATCCAAAGTCTGTTTCAGGTTCATTTAACGATTCCCATTTCATTTAATCTATTCTTTTCTATTTAAAGTTTGAAATATGAAAAATAACTTTATTTAATGTTCTCAAAAACTACCTAGACAAAAGACACTCTAATTTTATAATTAATTTAATAACAATAAAAAAAATATTAGAGATCATGATCGATATTAACTGTGTTTCGAGTTAACACAGAAGTTTCAACTTCTTTTATTTATCGTTATACATCAACTGTCATATTCTGTTAGTAAAAAAGTTTGTTATAAAATTTAAAAATTTAAGATTCATTATCGTTATATCCATTACTTTTGTCAATTTATTTATTTTTATTTTTATTCATATCAGATATGCTAACAATTGGTAATATAGTTACATACACATGTAATTTTGTAAATAACCTAGCGTTAGCAATTAGTTGATTGACCTAACCACTGCAATTCACTAAAGAAACGGAACACGGAAAAAAAAATGGCAAAATTCGAATATCTCACCATTGAAGAATTATCAGAGACCAAAGAAAGTGAATTTTATTCGTAATAATAACAATTTTATTTTTGAATTTAAACTAACTTGAATCTTTGCGTTCCATTTATTGTGACCGATCTGAAGGACAATGTTTAAACGTAAAGCCAAGTTTTCGCCTTAAGGAAATATTAAAAAAAACACATTACACACTACTAAACTAAGACTACCACTCTATATGTATATCCACCCTTGCCTGTATTATATCACTGACCCTTTCTGGCACCAAATTGATCAATCTTTTGCAAAAGTCAATTTTGATGCAATTGGTAGATTTTCCCACAAATTGTTTTTATTTAAAAGTGGGCCAGGAAGATTTCGTAAGCATGTATCGACTCCATTCCATGAATTTTTGATTTGATTTAAGTCGGAGGACTGAGCGGACCAATCAAGCAAAGTAATGTCATTATCAAAAAACCATTGCTTTGCTTTATTGGATATATGTTTGGGGTCATTGTCTTGCTGGGATAGGAATCCAAAACTGCACCCAACAGATTATTATTCAGTATATCAACGTCCATTTTGCTGTCGATTTTCCGGAGTTCACTAACTCCGCTGGCAATTAGGCAGCCCCAAACCATAACTGCGCCGCCAAATTTTACGGTTGGAGTAACATGGTGATCTTTAATTGTTCACCAGGAAGCTTTTTCCAACACCATTTTCGTCCATCCGACCCAAATAATTGGAACTTGCTTTCGTCGGACCAAATTATTTTCTGCCAGTCGTCGATTGTCCAATTTCAGCATTTTTTTTTTTTGCCCATTTTAAATTTCGACTCCCAGTTCAGTTTGGAGCTCGTGTTGAACTTGGATGGCGGTAGTGTATTTTCCAGATGATATTAATCGGATGGCATAATGATTCGAAAAAATGCGTTGACGACTGGGGCTTTGGTTTATCTTCGAAGTTTCCGGTTTCTTCTTTGTTTTTGCAGATGTGTTGACAAAAGCTAAGCCCACTTGTTCCGATAATGCGATTTTCGGAATGAATATCCTTCTTGTCGGCGAGTGTATATTTGGGCGCGTTTTTCTAGTGAAATGCGAGGCATTTTAGAATAAAAAATGGTTAGAATTATTGTTTAGAATAACGAAAAATGTGTTCTATAAAAAGGTAGTGAAAAAAAGTGCTTTTATACTTGTCTTTGTGGGCTTGAATTTCTCGTCCGATTCGGTCATATTAAACGGGATGCTAAAAAAAAAAATTATTTAGCTTGTGAATTAAAAGATAGATGAAAAGATTATTTTAATGAAAAAAATCCACTTTCTTTTGATCGCCAATGGCGAGATATTCGAATCTCGCCATTCTTGTCCCGTGTTCCGTTTCTTTAGTGAGTCACTGTATATTTGCACTTTGATTCGATTATAGAGTGAGATTAGAATATACAGTGACTCACACAAGAAATGGAACACGCGATCAAAACTTTCTGGAATGTTGATCTTCGTCAATATCATTCCAAACAAAATAAAAAAGCTCTAGTATTTTTTAAATATATTTTGACAACAGATTATTTTAGTCGATTTTGTAAAACTGGGTAATTAAATTAAAATTTTCAATTAGTAAATGAACTTTTTTTCTATGACGGATTCAAATTGGACCACTAATTAAAAATGGTATACTCTACAAAATTCGCATATGTACCAATTTGACTCAAAATTTATTGCGATTTAAAATCCTAAAGGTGCAAATATCTGTTAGTAAATTAATGCTCCTAGCAGAGATTCGAACCTTCGGGATCTTAAATATCGATAAATTTTGAGCCAGTTTTTGTGAAAATTGGTACATAGGCGGATTTTGTAGAGTATAACATTTTTAATTAGTGGTCCAAATTGAATCCGTCATAGAAAAAAATTTCTACAATGTAAGAAATTTACTAATTGGAAATTTTGATTTAAATTACCCAGTTTTACAAAATTGACTAAATATTCTGTTGTCAAAATATATTTAAAACACATTAGAGTCCTTGTAATTCAAAATGAGTACTTTTTTATTTTTTTGGAATGATATTGACGAAGATAAAAATTTTGATCGCGTGTTCCATTTCTTGCGTGAGTCACTGTAGATATCCTTTTTTAGATCGGGAATTCTAAATGTTTTTATTGACGATTGAAGATTGTACTTGTGTATATATTTAACATTTCTAAAGTCAAACTAAAAATTAATATTTACTTACCTTTCGGAATTGGTTTGTATAGACTTTTGCGTTAACAGAAATGTGATATCTATCTAACAATTTATTAATTTGACTATTTCCCACTCGTCCATGGAAGCGAGTTCACAAATTGATGGTAAGCATTCATATTTGGACAGTTCTCCTGTGCGAATAAAGTTTAATTAATAATGTTTTAGAGTTGATTACTTAACAAACAAATGGAAAAAAAGCATGAGACGCTTCTTTTTAAATTGCAATTAGATATTTGCCAAGGTTGTATCACGTAGATGAACGTAACACAAAGTGTATATATCGATATTCTTTTACATTTATCGTTATAATAATACGTATATAACGATAACAATAACCTTATCCATTTAAAATGGTTTTATTTGCGTTCTTGTACAGGAATCAATTAACATTTATTCATATAATAGATTTTTACAATAACAAACATGTACATAAGTGTCTACTCTCCACGTAACCATTTCCATGTTAAATTCCAATTCGCTATTACGCAATGACCATCAAACTTACTCAAAAGAATGAGTCTTCTAAATCTCGTAAACTAAATTATCCTACTTACATCGCATGGAATGCTTTGTAATAAACCAAACCTTTTCCGTGACAAAAATTCTCCATAATGATAAATGTATCACATTCGCACACAGAAGATGTAACACTTGTCGTTCTCCTTACATTACACAAGATAAAACAAATTATATTTCAGCGATAAACCTTGTTTTTGTACTAAGAAAGTATTGTTTGCCAATAGAAAATTTAAAGTGCTAGAATCATTGAGAAGCAACGCAACAATGACCACGAAAAAAATATCTCAACCAGTCGATCTTGATTGAAAATAAAACTAAATTTGGAACAAGAAAGACATAGCTAAAGTGATCATTCTCTCATTGTTCACATGCCAATCTATTGTGCTATAATGGATCGGCTTATTCATTCGCCTGAAACACTCTCTTGCTGAACTAACCACTAATATCAAAAACCAATCATCGGTAATTATAGCGTTATGTTGCATACATGATAGAAACTGGATTGTGAACCTTTCTATGAGAGAAAAAAGAGAATGATTATACGTATATGCACGTATGCATAGATGTACAGCAAAAAAAAAGATATGTTTACTTCTCTTCAGGGATAGTTTTGCATTCACATCTGCGTTAGAGTTTTGAACCGTTTGGGATCCTTGTATTATCATTCTATGCACGGCAAATGCATGTATGCGTGTGGAATAGAAGTTATTCTTACTTCCGTTCTCATCTAAAACACCATCCAGGAACTCACAGATTCCTTTTAGCTGTTGTGTCGGCGTATTCTAATTTCCGTATTCTGAAAAATTCTTGTTGCTGTTGTCATCACGTCATCACATGTATCTGCTTTCAATCAGTACATAAGCAATTGAAACTCTCACATTCAAACAATTTTACTGCTCAAGAAAAAACTTTTTCTTTCTCAGATTTCAAATATTTTCTATCAATTTAAAAATTAATTTTGTACATTTTAATAACGATAATACGTAATAAAAAAATCGAAAAAAATCAACAAAAGATGACGACAACACGATATTTTCCATTTTTATCACGAGATTTTGCACGATTGTTAGAGACAGGGCAAAAACCCGATATATCAATAAAAGTTGGTAGTGGAGCAATGACAAGAAGCTTTCAAGCACATTCATTAATATTGCATGCTCGGTCACGATTATTTGCCAAATTGTTGGCGGACAAGTGTACATATAGTGCGGGTGATGGTGCTGATAATGGTTTGCCAGTGTTGAACAGCCAAGTACTTGACCAAATAACACCAGCTGTGTTTGAAATTTTACTTCGGTAATTATTTGTCTTTTTATTTTACTTCGTCGAATACGTTTTGTAAGAGTGTAATAACCATTTTCTTGTGCACGGCTTCTATATACAAACAAATAATAGCTATATATATGGAGGGAATTTACCACTAGAGAATAGAGGAGGGCGACACATACTTGAACTTCTAATAGGAGCAGATTTACTAGACTTAACAGACATTCTACATGAAATACAAGAACAGCTAGTAAAGAACAATAGCGATTGGGTGGTGGAAAATTTTGGGATAATAAGCAGAACGGTACTCGAACATCCAAACTTTAAAATACTATACGACTGTTATATGGACGTAATACGAACAAGACCAGAAGGGATTTTTCAGTCCAAAGATTTTCTTACGTTACCAATCGCAACACTGATTGAAATTCTGAAAAATGATGACGTGGCGTTGGAGGAAGTGGATATTTGGAAACGAGTTTTGGAGTGGGGAATTGCGCAGACGCCAAACTTGTTGCCGAATACAAAGAGTTGGTCGTTACTTGAATTTGTTCGTCTACAGAGAACACTACAAGATTGTCTGCCGCATATTCGATTCTTTCAATTGTCATCGGCAGAATTTCAGGATCACGTGATGCCATATTTATCGATATTAGGGAATCAATTAAGAACAGATATCTTAAGTTATCATTTGAAACCTGGCTACACACCAATAACGACAGTAGCACCACCAAGATACGGCTCAAAAAGTTTAATGATTGCAAAAATGGTCCCGCATCATTACCTTGATTCGACAATAATAAATAAGCGACATGCTGCATTACTATCCCTTTGGATAGACCGTAGAGAGAACGAAACACCCACAACATTTCGTCAACCTACCTCCGCCGAAAATCGCTACGAATTTAAGTTACTATGTCGAGGAACCCGCGACGGATTCACCGCAAAATACTTTCACCGGTTTTGCGACTCAAAAGGACCAACGATCACCATTCTAAAAGTCAAAGAAACAGGTGAACTAATTGGCGGGTATAATCCACTACCGTGGAAATCATCAGACGCTGGTAAATACCAAGAAACGAATGAAAGTTTCGTGTTCTCTTTTGGGTTGGATTTCCCGCGGAGTGCTATTCTAAGTAGAGTGTGTGAGCCAAGTCAAGCGGTATATTGTCATCGTGTGTGGGGACCTAGTTTCGGTGTGTTTGATCTAGCATTACATGGTAATTTCGCAGAGGACGGGATGTGTCGTAGTCAACGAGGGCAATACGAAAACGAGATACGGTCTTCGGATAGTGAAGATTTCTCGGTGGAAGAGTATGAAGTATTCCAGGTTATAGATCATCTGCCACAAAAAGACATTATTAATAATAGAGAATTATCATCACCATCGTCACGTAAATATTTTATTTATTCGTTTGTCGTTTTGGGTTTTGCTGGGGTAATATTAGCATTGAGTTTTTGGTTTGTGTTATCTGAATATTGTCCGTGTGGGTTATTGGATACTATTGAACGATTGAAGAGAACGATAATTTCAATCACTTAAAAAAAATGTATTATAATTTATTATTATATATTATTAATCAATGTTTTTACCAGATTAAAACAAAAAAGCTTTTTGCATTCCAAAAGATGGTGATACATAAGTGGTAATGCATATCAACCTTTCGCTTTAATTTCTTTCACCTTTCCTCATGGGTATGAAACTTGTTCATCATCTTGATAATATGATAGGAGCGATAAGCGTGTGAATGGTCCCAAACAGTTTCGCGAGTTAACGAAACTAATAAAATAAAACGGGAAGTTCTTCATTCTACTAAGTTCGCACTGTTACAATACACACTTATGCGTGATTCAAAAATTAACAAAATCAATAGGATAAAAACTGCAATTCTTCAATCGTCAAATCGCAAGTAATACGACTCTTTTTTTTTAAAAAAAATTAGTTTATTTATAACGTATGTCGCTATGTTCAATTGTAAGTTATATAAAGAAGTGGACTTTTTGTCTTGATGCTATTTGGCATAATAACAGCAACAGAATTTATTACAGAGATAATAAAAAGCTTCTTTTTTGTGAGTTAACACACAAAATAATGCTTCTTCTTACCGTACAGTGCTGCATAAAGTATCCCCTCCCCCTTGGAGAAGAAATTGTATTGTGAATCTTGATTTATTCTTTTTGCAGAAACATAATCGTAATTGGTTTACGAATATCTCATTTATTTAGAACCCTAGCCACACGGCAAGAAAAAATGTCGGGTCATGTGATTTCAGAACATCGCCGATTCATACATAATGAAACATTAAAATTTTGTAATTTTAACTTTACACTAACTATATTGGTTTCTATATCAAGCAGTTATTTATATTTGAAATTGACATTGTTACCGTTTTGATTGATTTTTGAAATACTCAAAGATATTTATAAAATTTAAGGAATATTGTTGTATAATGATCTTTCGTCATAACATTTCATATTATTGGATTATAAATATCTCATATCTTATTGGATAAAGATTAAAGATGACGCAGCAACTGTTGCAACGTGATGACAAATAAAGCATCACCTAGTTGCAACTAGTTGCGGCTTATAAAATTTTGGAGTTGC